GTTATTTATTTCCTCCTTTGCTGCCCTTCGTCTTCATCCTTTCACATCTTCTCCTTCTCCTCGTCCTCGATCGTTTATCGGCTCTCTCACTCGCTCTTTGATACTCCGACTGATTGGAGCGTACGCAGTCAGTGTGGAACATTAAATTCAATTGGAAACTATTTTTTTCTCGCGCGCCGATATGCCGGACAAATTGTACTTCCCACACATGTCGGTCCCGTACAAAACCGGGATGTTTGATCCGTTATTTAGAGCCCGCGTTCGATTCGCGCCCGAACTCGATTGCTGGGGAAAAAATTTTCACAAATGCATCGGTCTATTAATCGTTATGTGCTTATTTACGATCAAAACGTGGAACAATTGCGAACATGTGTGCAGTAAATCATGTCAATAAAAATATTACAGATGCTGTTAACAAAAAGTAGAAATAATAATGTCCTCGTTTAAAGTAATGATTAGTGAAAAACGAATTTATCTTTTGCTTGTTTACACGCTTGTTATAAATAATCTCTTTTGTTTTTAAAAAAACAGAAGAGTTTTTTGAAAGTAACTTTCATCATTATCTTAAGAGGGAATAATAATAATTTAGTAATAATACATGTTTAGTAATAATACAATGTTTTTCGATACAAATTTATAATTTACAAGATAAATACAATAAATATTTATTACCAAACTTAATTGAGTTTTACCGAAAAATTCGATTTCAAAGATGGAAAACTACTTTTTATCCACATAAGTTTATACATGTATATTAAATATAAGTATTTTATTTTTTTCACATTTTTCAAAGCAAATATATTTTCTCGATAAATAAAAAAATCTACACTTTATTTTATATATTTATGATACAGAATTGATAGACATCGAATAAAGCTTTATTTGATGCTTTATTTGGTTATTACGAACTTTTTCAATTGCGTAGATTATGAAATGCATTACGAACTTTTTCAATTGCGTAGATTATGAAATGCATTAATCCATTAAACAGTACTGAGTTTTCGATAGTTTCAATCAGAAAAATTGGTGAATTAAACAGTGGAATATATAATCAAAATAGAATGATTGCGAACAAAATGTGTGTAATAAATCATATAAATAAGAATGCAACAGATGCTGTTAGTAAAAAGTAGGAATAATAATAGTCTTCTCTAAAGAAATAGTTAATAAAAAATAAATTTGTGTCTTTTGCTCATTTATAAATTTTATACATATAATCTCTTCTTTTTCTACAAAATCGCTGTTTGTTATTTGAAAACATTTTTTTATTATATTGTCTTAATAATCCGGTTATAATAAAATTATATATATATTTAGAACTTTCTCTTTACAAATTTATAAAAAATTTGCAAACAACTTAAATATTTAAGTTATTGCCAAACTTATTTGAGTTTTGTCAAAGATAAGACATTTATCGTTTATCCATTTATGTTTATATGTATATCAAATATAAGTGTTAGATGTGTATCAAATATAACAAACATTTTACTATTTTGATCATATTTTTCAAAGTGAGGATTTTTTCGATGAATAAAATCTGTACTTTATTTTATATATTCATGATACGATGGAATTAATAGGCATCGAATAACGCTTTATCCAATACTTTCTTTTATCTGCTTATTATCAACTTTTTCAATCATGTAGATTATGAAACGTATTAATTCATAAAAAACTACTCTCAGTTTCCGAAAGACAATTCTAATCAGAAGAACAGGCGAATAAAACAACGGAGTTTAATACCAGCGCGACAATATTGTTAAAAATCATTGTTGGCCGACCGAGTTTTATTTTTAAGCAGAAAGCGCGTCGACTTAATGAATTTTTATTGCGCATTCCGTAGCCTCTGGAGAGAACACTCAGCCCGTACGTTGACTTTTAATTATCAACAATGTGATCGCGAAACTAAGGTAATATGCAACAAGCAAAATACAAAGTGTCTTCAAAGCTTACAGGTCAATAACACGACAATTGTTTGTATTTGCATGCGATGAAAGGAGCGAGTTGGACGGAGAAAAAATAACATCGTCTTACAAATGATTCTTTCCCTTGAAATTTTAGACACTGTAATCTAAGCAACGGTGAGCTCGAATCTTAATGAAATTCTTGAATTTGAACAATTAATTTTATGTTAGTTGCATTAAAATGCTCGCAAAAATATTGTAACATAATATATGTATGCATATATATGTATGTATGTATATATATATATATATATATATATATATATATATATATATTATATATATGTGAATGTCCGTTTGAATAAACGTCGCGTTTAATTAATTTCCATTGAAATAGCAAATACGAATATCTACTTTCTAAATTTTGCAATTTCATAGAGTAAAGAATACGATATACGAACGAACCAGCAGATGAACGTATTTGGATCCGAGAAAATCCGAAACCGCGGTATTCAGGTTCGGGCGATCATTATAGTAACATTGTAGTTCGTAGGAACATCGGGAGAGAATCTGAGTAAAATTTGTTACCATAGGAATTCGTTACTACACGTAATAATGTATTTCAAATATCGTTCACGCTTACGTGGCATATTATCAAAATCTTTGCATAATTTCTAACAAGATTATATAACAACTAAAAATTTCCTCTGCGGGTATATTGCAATTTTTATGTGATTTGCAAGAAAAAGATAATTATTGCTGACGATAATTGAAAAAATAACTATATGTACAAATTTTTACGTTTTAAAAATGCAATAAAAAATGAAAAAATAGTTCTCATGAGCTTGGCCTTTTGAAGCCACAAGAAATTAAATAACCTTTAATGAAAAATGTAACTTCCAATAAATGTAAATGAAGATAATGAGTCTTTATTATTCAGTTAATTTCAAGTGAATTTGCTTGAACAGAATTTTAATGTGACGTTTAATTATTAAAATACTTAATGTTAGAAAGACTACAAAGAGAGAGAGAAGCTAAGTACAAAATCTATATTTATAAACTTTTTTCTATATAAGTTTTCGATATCATTAATAATTTGCGGGTATTAATAAATCTAATAATGTTATATTATATGTCAGGTGAATAATCAATAGATTACCATGCCCGATAATTTCTCGCATAAAAGTACCGTATTTTACAAATCACACTCTTCTGCGTAATGCTACAGTGATTCATCGCGACACAAGCTGTGATGTGATCTTGTAATATCGCTAATGGCCACGTCGCATAATATCTAGATCGTAAAATAGGTGTAAAAAGTATGATACTAATTAGCTGTGCAGCTTTTTGCGTGATCGATTAAATTAGCACCGTTCGATAAAAGTTATCAAGGAAATTGTGGAAGATATCGTAAGATAATTGAGGCTTTGCTAAGTACTTTGGCAAATACATTTGGGACTGTGATTTTCAAATTTTGCGCAAAATATTTTATTCGCTAATAAAATAACTGTTAATATTATTTATTAGCTTGATTACATTACGTGATGCCAATCTCGAATTCAACGATGACAGATTTCCTGATAAATATAAAAGCTATTTTAGATTACGTTTATTTTCTCCAAAGTTTCTCAAAACAAATAATAATCTCTTTTTCACTAATAATAATCGCCAACCGCGATTTGTCTTGAAAAAGCAATTAATTTCAAATTAAATCAAAAGTTTCTGGCGTAAAAGTCGATGATGGAAGTTCTGAAGTACTCTTTGTACGAACCTTATATCCTGACGGGGTATGAGAAATCGATTTTTATTAACATGGATATAAAATTTACGAGATCATAAGTCGATATGGGAGCTATTCGCGAGTCATTTTGTTTATCAAATTAAAGTATGCAAGATTGAAACATACTTTAACGCGCCGCGCGTGTTTCGAAAAATAATCCGACATTACGGTCGACAAGAATCGATTTAATCGTCTGAGGCTATATACAGAAAGACGTCTCGACTCTTATCTGAGACAATTAACAAGGCTGACGGACGTTCGAAAATTCTGACGGCCCGCCTCAACGTCATGGATCGATCCCGATATTATTCCTCGAGGATGGTCGTTGGTCGTGCCGCTTCATAAATCGTTCGATTTATCGTTGCTGACTCACCGCGATCCGTTCGCGGCACATTGCTGCCCGCAAGGGGTACTCGCCGACCTCACCGAGCGGCACAGGTGAGCTATGGAGAAGCCAGACTTCGAAAATTGTCGAGGATATCCTGTACGATAATCACGGATATAAGACCACATGATCGAGCAAGTATCGCGGCGCATCCTTTCTCGGGCAAATATCGTAGATTATATATCTCCACTTATTAATAAACTTCTATTATGACGAGTATTATCGACAAATGTAATTTTCTTTCATGTGTGTGCGACATACAATATTATTTTATATTATATATCTTGTAAGGAGATTTTTGTTCCAAATTTAACATTATTCTTCTGCGAATTCTTTTTGACTTTTTGAATTTGAAAATAATTTTTAGAAGTTACGATCAAGCTTTTAGACAGGGACGAATAAAGAAGGAATACTTGTTGTTTAATTAATTAATTTCACAAATTTATTTTATTTTATTTTAATAAAAATTTTAATTTATATATTTTTATTTAATTTCATAAATTTGTTTTACTATAAAAAATGTATTAAATGAAAAAGACGAAATGTTCAATCAAAATGATTGCTGATCAAAGAAAGAAGATATGGAGAATGTAAAATATCATATATTTATTTTTATATCTTATATATTTATTTTTATATCAAACGGAATTTAAAATAATATTTTAATAAACTTTAAATTTGTTATAGAAAAATTGTACAAATATAAATTACGTAATTAAGTTATAATAAATATGAAGGCAGGCAGAGGTAAACATAGTTATGTAAATTCCTCCAAAATGATTTCCACGTGTTTACTTGTTGATCAGAGGGAAATACGATATTTATTTTAAATATATTTCATAAACCGAAGTAAAGTGTAATAAATATACCTTTTAACATCCTCTTATTTGAGATTATATGTAGATAGTAGTAAAAGTAGAAGTGTACTTACGTCAAAGTCAGCAGTGCATTTTACAAGATCTGGTGGATGGCCGGAGTATAGCTTCAAAGATTGCAGCAAACCCTTTAAATAAATAGCCAGGAAATAGTAGACTATCGTACGACATATAAAGTTCATTGTCTTGTTTCACGAATCTCGTTTCTGCTACGTCCTTTCTTCCTTTCGTAAACGACACTATTCGCAAGCTCGCATTAAGGCACTTTTGTTGTAAAATATCAAAGTTTAAAAAGAGTATAAATATAAAAATAAAGATATATATAAGAGATAAATATAAAAATAAAGATATGTATATGTATATTTTTTTTACCGTCATCGTATTTATGTATTAAGAGGGTTTGCAGCCAAAAAAAAAGATATCGATTTATCGTGTTGAGAAATAATCTCATAATCAGATATATAGTTCGCAATTTCTGATTCGAGCGACGTCTAGTTTTTTAATGACGAATCAATTAAATCGATCGCATTTTTTGACGCAAGTAAATATTCTTCTATCTAATAAGTATAAAAAAATTATTTTTAAATATGCGTACAAAATACACATTGATTCTTATAACTTTGTATACTACGGAGAGATTATCACACAATTTATGATTCCCGTATTTTTCAATACACACTACTGGAGAAAATCGGTGATTTATCTCCGCACACAGGCAACAATTCCAGTCTTCTATTTTGGAAAAAGGAACCGGCATACTGGGACGGTGCATCGATCATTCTGAAAGTGTTCATGGGATCGATCGATCTTTCTAAATGGCCCGCAGTAACGCGCTTTACGGTGCATTTTACGGTTTTCGGTCGGTGCAAAAGCTTGTTTTCTTTTTTTTTCCTCTTCACCGGTCGTGTTAGTCCGCTGCAGTTGTAATACTTTTTTTTTCGTTCCCGAAACAACTGCCGCGGATTTGTACAGTTGAAAAGTCGTCCCGGATTGTACCGGCAATGTTCATCTATCCCTATCCACTTGACCGATAAAATATTTCATGAAGGAAAATGATAAATGTATGTGTATCAACACAGCAAATCATCATTACATTAACGTTTTTATTACCACATAAGTATGAATAATACTTTTTTTAATTCAAAGAAATAAGAGCACACACGAGATTTTTTGCAATAGCCATATATGCACGTGTACATCTATATTTGCAGAAAATCGTAAAATGTGTTCTAAATTGTGAATATTGGATAAACAGGCTCTTTCATATATCAGGTAGATAAAATGAATATGTTTGGCGCATAAACAGATTATTTTATTTTCATGAGTTCTCGCACCATAGTTAAAAATTGAAATTCGAAAAACGCGTAATTAATAAATATTTCCAAACTCATCTGAATTCTTTATTAATTTACAATTTTATTTAACAAAATTTAATATAGCTAATATTTAGCAATTTTATCATTAACGTATAGTCAGAACGTAAATTTAAATATCGAGAAAAATAGTGCCTCGTACAACAATTTTATTAGCATAATAGCTGTTTATATGTATCGCGAAATGATAGAAAAATGTCAAACACTGTACACTAACAATTTTAATCGTAATTGATGTCACAATTTCCGACTATCTTTCGCTGCGAACGTTCTGCACGAGATGTCTGAGGACGACTGTGTTATGGAACGTCAGTCGTCTCGAAAGCTAAAGCCTGTTATAAAGTATAGAAGAGAGGGGAGGTGTCTGCTCATGCGGATCGTTTATATTCGACATGTATAATACCTAAAATGCATGTTTGATATAATGTTTTGATTAGGTTTTTGTCTCTGTCAATGTTAATTCGAGTGTATTTTATGTATATGAGAATGTTAAAAAAAGAGAGATTTGTGGACGATGTTTGAAAAATATTGAGAACTATTTAGATTTAAATTTAATCGCTATAACGCGTTTAAATTTTAAAAGAGAGAACGGAAAAAATTTAAAGATCTCTTCTGAGTGTCGACATTTCGATATGTTGATATAAGAGAATAATATGTACATTTATATTAGAGATTTATATTTCCATGTTTCACAAATTGAAATGGATACTTTGATTTGTATTTTATATGCACGAAAGAATAAAAATTATGTGAACACAACATTTGAAAATAAAATCGCTTTATATTTACATGGACAATAAACTATCCTTTTTTTATTACAATAAAGAAGATTTGGATATCAAATTGGAAAAAATTCGAACATTTTGTATAATGCTGGAACGTTTTTTTTTTGAAAATATAATTCTTAAAATGAGGTGAAAATATTATTGTGTGAATAAATAAAGCTATTTAAACAAAAGTGTTATATAAATAATATTCAATTTTTCTGTACACAAATTTATCCTACTATTATAATTATATGTATTAATATTTTTTTATAGAATTATTTTTGACATTTCTTATTTATATTGTCGTAATAAAATACTTTAGAATAATTATTGAAAATTTTCGCTTTAGTAAAAATTATAAAGAGTCAAAATTTTTTTAAACATCCAAATGTTTTTAAAGTACCTTATTATATACTGAATAAATATGCTATCATTTGTACAGAAATTATAGAAGTAATAAACGTTTATAGAAGTAATAAACGTTATAAATGTTTTCTTCAACGAAGCTACACTGCATTAATTTACTATCCTGTTTTGTTAAAAGATATATTTAAAAATTATGTAGACTGCATTCATTAATATTAATTAAATAAATTCAATTTATGCTGTATCTGATATACGATATATATATAATGACAGAAGATTTATTATAACAAAATGTAATATTGCATATATCATTATGTCATTGTAATTATACTGGAAATAGAATTTGCTATGTTAAGGCTTTGAACCGGCCATGGCAGTTCGATTGTGACATCAGAGGCGAGAATTCATGCATATTTCAAAACTTATAAATTTTCTGTTACATCAATCCTGAGAATAACTGAAAAACCTTCGCATATTATTATTAAAATAGTAGATTTGATAGAGCAAATTTTTCTCCGATGTCTCTCTCTCTCTCTCTCTCTCTCTCTCTCTCTCTCTCTCTCTCTTTCTTTCTCTCTCTCTCTCTGTCTCTATAAATTTATCTTATATTTTCAATAATAAAAATAGATTTATATAATACATAATTAAACCTGACAGCTGTTTATTGATTAGAAGTCAAAAATAAAATTAATGCCATAATTTATAAGTCTATTACTTCATACTAACAAATGTGGAATGATGGAAAGGTGAAATGTCAAAGTAAAGTTATTTCAGCGATGAAACAATTTCTATTACTGATTCTTTATATCACAATTCGATTTAGTTGCGATGATCTAAAATCTTGATGTAATCTTGAAAGATACTAAATTAGCATATTAAATTATGATTAACGCTGCTATTGAATTAACGATAAATAGCGCAGTAATATTAAGAGTAGAGGAGTGGGAGATTTTATCTCACATTATTTATCTCACGGTTTTTGCTGCGAAGAGTAACCAGGTGTGTACCCCATTATACTCTCCGTTATCAGGCCACCGTCAATTATTTTGCTTAGGAAAGAATATGCGGCCGGAGTTAGACAAATTTAATCCTGCGCGCGAAAGCAGCTCGAAGTGCGCGGATTGAGAGAGGAGATAACAAGAATAAGCTTAATTTTCGTCGAGTTATTAGAGGACGAGAAGAGAAAGAGAGAGAGAGGAATTGAGTTAGTTGAGAGCGTACACGGTGAGGATTATTGTGCGATCCGTAAAATCCGGGCTGGACTGCGTGATTAAATATTTAGAAGAATTTTCCGAGCGTATCTGACGATGAAAGAGAAAGAGAGAGAGAGAGAGAGAGAGAGAGAGAGAGAGAGAGAGAGAGAGAGAGAGAGAGAGAGAGAGAGAGAGAGAGAGAGAGAGAGAGAGAGAGAGAGAGAGAGAGAGAGAGAGAGAGAGAGAGAGAGAGAGAGAGAGAGAGAGAGAGAAAGAGAGAGAGAGAGAGAGAGAGAGCAAAAGTAAGAGCAAGAAAGAGCATGTTCTGATCGTGCTTTATATATAGCGGAGTTCCTCGCAGCTGCCCACTTCAAAAGAGCCCAGGCAGTGAGTCCATGGGAAAGTTTGTGAAACTTTAACAGTGTCTTAAATACTTAACTTCCACCCGCATCGATCCTAAACTTAGCAATGGAATTACCGTAACTCCCCTACTTACAAATAGCCCTCATATTCGAAATTTGTAACCCGTTTTTGTTGTGATAAATGCAACGACTACGATCTGGTTATAGCAGAATTTAATTGCATGAATATTTTTCGCGAATAAAAGCAGATAAATACCCTTAATTTTATTCTACGATAGTTATTTTCCTTATTCGCGCTCTGTAAAAAGGATAATGTAACACATTTTTTATGCTTACCAACTCATTATCTCTATCAAACTTTCACAATTAATTTTTCCATGAAAATATCGATTTTCCAAAATTTCTTCTCTTTTCTCTTTCATCTTGTATTGAAGAGTGTTGTGGGAAAAGAATAAATTACCAAGAATGGGTAATATCTTGAGAAAAATAATATCTTGAGAAAAAATTTTAAATTTGGAAATATTTTTATAATTGACGAGTTATTTTTATATGATTTAAAAAAATGCATGTGTATGCGCGCCTCTCTTTTAATTTTCGTTGATTTATTATTCTCCATTTTCTTTGTTTTATAAATTACTGATTTTTACTGAACATTAATAATATAGGACGCGTTTTTGTTTTATGGCGTTATTTTAGAGCGCTTTTTGCTCTTACTTATATTTAACACTCGATTTTTATTGTTCATGCAATTTATTATCGCAAAATTGAATATGAACTTAATTGAAATGAATCGATATTGGTAGTATAAACGAAAATAAATAGATTTTTGAAATATGTATGCATTTATATGACAAAATATTCAGTTATTTTTAATTATCGATAGAGAGACAGGCAACTTGAAATGATTCTTGCTGATAAAATGAGAGTTTATTGAAATTCAATGCGAGAACATGATTATCAAATAGATTAATTTTAGCATTAAGTAAAATATTTGCAATACACGGAATGTTTTAGTGTTATACATACATACAATTGATCGCGACTGTAAATGTCACTGTGTATAATGC